ATAGCCCAAAACACGACGGAATCAACAACTCTCCTAATGGGCTAACTAGAACCAGACTGCTGATCCAACAACCGCCCTCGGAAATCCTCATCCCGCCGAGGTCGGTACACTCCACAGTTTCTCCACGCCTCCCCTGCAAACAATGGAACCACCACACAAGCGTCGCCGGAGGACCAACTTTCCCAACACCAGGGAAGGTTGAAGAGGGGGGAGACCAAGGCTATAGACCGCTACCACGGACCTCCATAAAGACGCCCGCGGCGTCTGCCGAAGCCCACTCACCGGCGAAACCCTTCTCTTCTCGCACTCCATGGCACACGATGAGAGACGAACACTTTGGGGAGGAATAACTGAGAGAACGCCATAGCCGCGCACCGTCAAGCCCAGGGCGAGCCACCTGCTCGCCGGGACTGCAGGAACTAGGGCCGTCGGAGGGGAGACACATCAAAGGAGGAAGAAAGGCTAGGGCTCAGAGGAGAAGAATTTGGAGGTTTTTTGGAGAGAGAAAATGGACTCACCAGTTTGTTATTGGTTATTTGTGTTTTTAACATTATTAACGTTTTCTACTAGTAAAGTGCTCGTCCGATGCACGTGTTACATAATTTATATTTATGTGATTTTAAATTACATTTTTTCTTTTATATGTTTATGGTCTATTCCATTTGTTGCATTATTATTTTAATTAATCAAACAAAAGAAAAGAAGTACATTACATAATGAACTACTAGTATGTAACCCGTGCGATGCACGGGCTAGTACATGTTATGGAAAAATTAAAAAAAAAATTAAAAGGGCATTAATTAATAAGTTATCATAATAGTGTGGCATTCATAAAGTAAACATAAATTCGTCATTGATAAAAAGTTATACATTATTAAAAACCTCCTTATATACAACGTTATTAGTTTGATTACTCGGTAACTCATAGTCCCCACAAACTAATATTTTCAACCTCTTCCTATTAGTAACACGTGAAACAACGACGTATAACTGGCCATGACTAAAAATAGGTTTTTTCAAGAAGAGTCTTACATGTGATAAAGACTGACTCTGACTCTTGTTTATGGTCATGGCATAGGAAACCATAAGGGGAAATTGCCTCCGTTGGAACTTAAACGGAACCCTAACATCAGAAGGAGTTATGTTCATCCGAAAAATCAACACCTTCTCACCTGCGTGATCCTAGTCAATATCCTACATTCAAGAACATGTGGAGAGGGCTTCGTAATAACAAAACGTGTGCAATTACACAGACCCATAGAATGGTCCATGTTTTGCAACAACATGACTGGAGTTCCTATCTTCAAATGCAACTCATGGTTCGGCGTTCCCGAACACCTCGCCTTCGTTCAGTACACCTCGAAATGCTCTCATATTTGTAGAACGTATTATGCCTTTAATAAATACACCCTACAAAATAAATTTATAAATATTAATTAAAACATTTTTTCAAATTATATAAATTTGATATTACAAATGAAAATATTTACCTGTTCATCATGAAACAATATATGGAACGCGTTCCAGCTCTCCCGTTCGTGATGCGTTTTAATTATTCGGACTGCTCTCAAACGCAAATAAAGTTGTTTGTCCTACTCACGGAATCGAGTGTATCCGAGACTGGCGCCATTATATTATCGATGTGTTCTGAAATTTATCTGTATTTTTTTTTCTCTGAACGCTGTGAATGACGTGAAGAAATAATGGTGGTAGTGAATATCCTTTTATACAACTTTTTTTTTAGCAAAAAAGTGATTGATGAAAATTATTTAAATGAAAAGATATTGGTAAGATTTTAATCAAAAGTGATTGATGTTAATTATGGATCAGTTTTAATTAATCTTTTTTTTTTTGGCAGAACCTTATTAAATGCAGGATATGCGGCCTTCAAAGAGGAGATTTATATGGAGTCAAAAAAGAGGAGATTTATTTGGATTTTGATTCCATATTTTTTATTGTATTCCTAAAAAAAATAAAAAAATAAAACAAATATGCTAATAAAGAGTCCGAATTGTGAAAAAGAAAGGGAAAAGTTTGAGTCCGAATTGTGAAAAATTAATGCAATGGCGTGAAAAAATTAATGCAATGGTGGGATTTCATAAATATAACGATTTATTTCATAGTATCTATTGCAATTAATGCTCGCTATTTATTAGGCCGAATTGTTAAAACAATACTAAGATTGATTTTAGGCAATTTTGTTAATTTACTATTTTTAGGCAATAATTAATGAAATTGGCGGTAAAGAGTTTTTAAAAGTGAATTATATTAATCCTTATTATATATTAATAGATGTCAAATATATTGAAAGTTGAAATAGAATTTTTAAAATTATAATATTTAAAGTCATGGTTAAAAAGATTGCATGAAAAGTTTGGTTGACTCTATGTGTGTATTCCAGTCAATGATATATAACTTAAATGATTAAGTAACTCGTATTTAAAATCAAAATGTTGATATCATATATCCTTACAAATTTAAAATATAATAAACTCATTATTATTTTTGTGTGAATTTTATTGAGAAACTTATAAATTTAAAAATTTAGAACAACTATATGTAAATTAATCAAATATGAATTAAGGGTGTTCACGGTCCGGTTTTAACTGAAAACAACTGTCAATTCGGACTGCGGATCGGTTAAATTGTCGGTTAAAAAAGCCTTAAAAAATCCGGTGGTTATTTTTTTTAAAAAATCCAGAATAACCGGTCCGGTTAACGGATTACCTGTGGCAAACCGCCGGTTTAACCAGACTGGACCGGTAAATATTAAAAAACTATAACAAATATATAACCGACAAATACAATACATTCACTTTCACTTTTTGGCATTTTGTTGACTTAATTTTGTAAGACACTATAACTTTTCACTTTTTCACATCTTCGTTTGCATAATTTTATTTTCATCATTTTTGTATTTTTATGTTTATGGGTCAAAATGTGTATTTTTATACTTATGAGACGAATTGTGTATTTTTTATTTCATTATTGTTGTTTTTCTTATTTTTAGGCCCAAATAATCTCATTTGGGCCCAAAACTGAAAAATAAAAATTACGCCCAAAATGAAACAAATTAACTTCAAGGCCTAAAGCAAAGATTTTGGATTTAACCGGTTAACCGCAAACCGGACCGTCCAATGCGTTTCGGATTGTGGCCGTTTAAAAAATACAACTGGTCCGGTTATGGACAAGAAAATAAATTAACCGTTAGGTCCAGTTTGGTCATGGTTTGACTACAACCGGACCAATTCGAACCGTTAACACCCGTAATATAAATATTGTATATCAGAAAGAAAAAC